CGTTATAAGGGAAGGTTCGTTATATCCAGGGTTTGTATTAGTGGGGTTTTACTGTATATAGACCCACCAACGATCCCACAAACAATAGTGAAGAATCGAATAGATACTGCGCACTGCCATACAATTATGACATTGAAAGAATAATAAGAATACTTAAAAATTACAATATCAAAACCCGGTACAAAACCACAGCAAATCTAAAAGAAATTCTATGCCACCCCCAACACTAAACATAATGGCAATAATGAATTTAAATCATCCATCGCATTCCATGCAAATCATGCCCTGCAACTAGGGCCTCCAATCCCGGTACATATTTTCAATCCTGGGATTCGGGATTGCTTTTTTCTCAATCCTGGGATATCCCGGGATTTAAAAACAATTTCTTCTTTCTACGGCAAGAGGTATATTGTTTCGTTCATAATATTTTTAATTTTTTTTATATAGTGCCAATGAGGTGGCACTTCGATGAAAACAACCTGAAAGCCATATATTTTGCGCCTGCTTATGAACTAAATCATTGCTTTTGGGTTACAGTTTTAAAATTATCTGTCAATTACTGTACACACATCTGGAAAAGATTACTGTTATTGGAACTCTTAGACCACATCTCTTAATGCAGTGTTGGGCAGTAATCCATTCAAAGTAATACATTACCTTGTAATTACGATTACTTTGCAATGCATTACTTGGCAAAAAAATTAATTGCTTTAGAATGTAAACATAATTACTAGTAATTCTATATATAATGATAGCAATTGTGATTAAAATTACTTGTAATTGTAATTATAGCAAATGTAATCATGATTATTTGCAATTGTGATTATAGAAAATGTAATCATTATTGCATTTTGCCCAACTATGTATTAATGTTTAGAAAGAAGACAGCACCATTTTAAAAACCATGAATTACTTTATTTAAAGGATAAAATTTCAATTTCGAGAAATATTTGAGCGTAGGAAAGATAATTTTTCAAGAGTGTCATCATGCAAACTAGAACGTATCTTATTGCATAAGTATCCAGAGGAGGAGAAGAGTCTTTCTGATTCCACAGACGTTGGAGGAATTGTCAGCAAGTATTGATACACACTCTCTAAATGGGATCCTCGTTTGCCTGACTGAGCAGCAATATTAAGTTCGTGGTTAATCATAGTTGAGTAGGATGCGGAGTCTGGTGTAGGTATTGCAATTGAAGTTGAAGAGGCAGTCTCAATAGCTTCTTGCAATCGGCGCTCAATTGTAAGATGGTCATTCGATTGTGATGGCTCATGGCATTCTTGTAAACTCCGAGGAAGTTGCGAATTATCAGCCTGAATTCTTACTTCGGCCATTTGTTCCTGTAACGGTTTAAGACGCAAAAGCAATTTCACGCTAAAGTCTTTGACCATCTTCTTTTTTTCCAACTGTGCTTGCGGATTGTGCAGATATTGGAGGACTAAAGATGTTTTATTGCATCGCTCTTTTAAAATTCTCTTTTGAAAAGATTTTTGCAGATCTTTGCTGAGAGAATATGATTGTGCTTGCAGCTCCTCTAGAAGAAACTTTACTGTTGCTTCTGCAGTCAAAAGCGTAGCGCCGCGTCTACAGATAGTCGCCACAGCTGCCCGAAATGGTTTCAGTGCGGAAATTACTTGCGTCATGATATCAAAATCTTCATCAGTTAGACGGACATTTGCATTCACATCTATTAGCGCCTTCTGAATCGCTGACTTCACACTGAGAAGTCTCTCCAACATGTTCGATAAACTATCCCAGCGCGTTCTGCAGTCGAGAATGAGACACATACTGGTGGAAATGCGATTATCTTGCCGCATGTAGTTCAGTAAGATCTCGTTCTTCTGCGCGATCGTTTGAACAATTTCACAACCACACAAGCTTTTTTTGTCACTTCATTTATTTTTTTCTTTGAAAATACAGGAGATTGTGGATAAATTGCTTCAGGGAATGAGGGATATGCTACCTCTAGGCTAACGTTAAATGGAGAAGTGTCCTCATTGTCATCCTCGTCATCCTGTCAGATTCTGCTTCATTTACTGTTGCGGAAACAAATTCAGGAACATCCCTCTCTTTTTTCTTAGCATAAAGTACATCCATCACAGCCGGATGGAGACCATGCGCGTAGCAGAGCTGTTGCAGTGGACCAATAATGTGACCCAATTTTACCATCATTGCGCACCCATCAGTTGTAACACACACTGGGTTTCATGCACAAACCAGTAATCCCGGGATTTTTCTAGCAGAATCCCGGGATTGGAGGCCCTACCTGCAACCTACATAGGAGAAACCGGTAAAACTCTTGAAGAAAGAATAAATCAACACAAAACAGCTTTTAAAAACCATAGCCCATTATCACTTTTAGTAGATCACGCACTCAAACAGGACCATATACCAAATTTTGAAAAAACAGAAATTATATATAACACATTCAAGATAAACATTCAAGACTCTTTTTAGAAAGTTGGACTTCAATGAAAGATACCAACAGTATCAATAGAAAAATTGACATCCATCCGTTATATTTACAGTTCAAATCGATTTAAAATTCTTTTATTATACTTATTAGGAATCATATATTAACTTTTAATTTTTATAAATGTACATATGTAGTATATTCTTATTTTTATATTTGTTTGTGTGTATATATTTTAAATTTTAGCCCCAGAGTTGAAAATATTTATATATCATCGCATGAAGGCATCGCGTGATGAACCAAAGCAGCTCAAAAACAAGAAAAGCCCTGAAGAAGTTAGGCGTATAGTCTATTGATATATTGGCTTTTGTATTAAATAAAATGTTTGTTTTACTTTTGATCCAAAATATGCCATTTAATTAATATCTATATTAATAAAATGGAAATTTTATAAGTGTTGTTCACTAAAAACTTTCGTTACAATGCATCAATTTCAACCAAATTTTCAATATTTATGTAAAACGAGATGGAGCAGGTTTTGCTTAACATCAAAATATATTTCCTAACATTAACATGCGTAACTTCGGTGTTATTATCGATTAAATACAAAAAAAAAATCAACAGAGTTAATTTTATTTATATATGAATACAAAAAAAAAAAAAATTCAACAGAGTTAATTTTTTTACATACTAGCTAATAATCTCAATCTAAAAAAATATTCAAAGCAAGCAATTTTAAGATAACACCATATGTAAAACAGTCGGCCAAGAAAACAACAACGATATTACATCTTTCTCACATATTCACACACAATCTTGATTAATAATTAAAACTAATCTTTAACATTGTTTATTATACTTCATAATATATAATATTCGTTAGGCAAACTTTCACTCGGATAAAACCCGGGCGAAGCCGGGTACACATCCGCTAGTATATATATATAATTTTTTTTAATTAAAAAGGCATATATTGGATCAAAAAATCATTTATTTTACCAATATTTCAGCTGGCTGAAATACCTTTATCAAGGTGTTAAAACATTTTAAAGTGTGTCAGTTGTTGTTGACACACTTTAAAATGTTTTAACACCTTGATAAAGGTTGGCGTTCAGCCAGCTGAAATATTGGTAAAATAAATATTTTTTTGATCCAATATATGCCTTTTTAATTAAATATTTATCTATGGATTGCTCAATTTTCAAAATATATATATAATAATAATAAAAAATGTTATAACATACTTCTAAATGCAAGAAGAATATTTTTATTTGAGGCTTTTAAATTACCAATTGTTTTTTAAAAATGATAATGTTTAGGGTTTATAAAAGACTGGCATTTTTTCCTTTTTTTTTTTTGTTTACAATTCCAATTTGTATCTGGACGCCTTGAAAAATCATATACTCTGTTGTAAATTTTATATTATTTTTTTTTTTGGCGCTTTTTTCGCACGAAAAAAAAAAAAAAACACACACACACAAATCAATCTTTTGGGAATACAAATAAGTTTTGCCCTAAAATATAAATAACTATTTTGAAATAGATCAATCCTTATATAAATATTTAATTAAAAAGGCATATATTGGATCAAAATATCATTTATTTTACCAATTATTTTACCAAATATTTTCATCCAATATATGCCTTTTTAATTGAAAATAAATAACTATGAATACCCTGCTCGCCAATATTCTGTCAGTATCAACTTTTGTAATATAGATATTATTTTAGCAAGTCTTTTATCACCATCATAATAGTTCTTCGATATTACAGAATTATTAAAATAATTTATTTCGAGCAATTTTGTATTTTCCTCCAGGTAGTTGGCGTTCTATGCTCCAGGAACCTGGCTTTTAAATATTGTAGCGGAATATTTATCACTAGACAATGGCCTGGGCAACGCCCAGGTTTTACCCGAGTGCGCATATATTTTAAAAACGTTTTAATTCAAATACTATTCGTTACAATTATAAATTGGCGCCATGGATGTCACTCTTGTGAAACGTCCCGTTCCAAACTGTGTGTTTTTAAAATGTTTTAATTAAAATACTATTCGTTACAATTATAAATTGGCGCCGTGGATGTCTCTCTTGTGAAACGTCCCGCCCCAAACTGTGTGTGTCTTGAAAATATAAAAATAAAAATGTGAATTTTCATAAAGATTTCATCATGTCGATTTTTTTTTTTGCATTTCACCTACTAAATCGATAGAGATAATTACATTTGCAACATGAACTTAGGTATATTGACTAAATAGAAAACTGCATAGTAATAAAGATCATTTTTTAAAGGCACCATATCGTTTTTTTTTTTTCAATAAAATCGAAACAAAAATTAACGATAAATAACGATAATTGCCTTAAAAAGAAATTGCCTTAAAAAAAAGAAACATTCGCGGTGATTTTGTCTTGCATTCGTTTATACGATTTATACGATTTATACATACGAATGACCGGGCAACGCCCGCCTGGGTTTTACCAGATTAAATGATTTTATTCAAATACTATTCGTTACAATTATAAATTGGCGCCGTGGATGTCATTCTTGTATAATATATAAATGAGTTTTAAAAATTGTAAAAAAAAAAAATGCATCGGCCGGGAATCAGGGCCGCCCGCGTGGCAGGCGAGCATTCTACCACTGAACCACCGATGGTTATGAAAAATCCCATCCGTGAGCTTCAAACAGACAAACAGACAGAATAAGGCATATATATAAGTAGATGCTCTTAACAATTTGCCTGTGTTGTTTCACTTTGAAAAGTTCTGAAAATGGCCTTTTTTTTTTTTTAAATAACGCTTTTGTTTTTAAAATGCCTTTGTTTTCTTCATTTTGGAAGCAATTAGTATTTTTATATTTCAAATTTAATGGATGAAAATATATTCTATTTAATAAAAAGTATAATGTGTTAAAATTTATACAACATACAGCAAAAATAAAGTGCAAAAATAAAAACAAACAATGCCGCTAAATTTATTGTTTTGAAATCGCGATCCGCGAGCTGAAACATGCTCAAAATTTGGTCGTTTTAATTTTTTTTTAAATTACAATTCTAAGTTTGTTATAAGCATAGTATTTAAAATAGATTTTATTATTTTGGGACCGAAAATAGGTTCGTTATAGGGGTAGTTCTTCGTTATTCTAAAAATCGCAAAGTTCGTTATAACGATGGTATTTTCAATGGAATGGAATTGGGAATCGTCGTGGGTTCGTTATAAGGGAAGGTTCGTTATATCCAGGGTTCGTATTAGCGGGGTTTTACTGTATTGGGCACATGGGCATCATAATTTTTCAACTTGGTTAAAAGCCTGTAATTAATATATTTGTTTTTTCTCCAGTTTTTAAGTATGGTGTTCAATTTATTTTTGAAGTTTTTTGTTCGATCATTTTGTATAGGAGAATAGGTGCCATTGTTATTCAATAAAGAAAGCATTTTTTGTTTGTAGTCTTCTTTTTTCATTAAAACAATTCCATTCCCTTATTATATTTGGTTATTACATATTTTGTTTGTAGGTATTTAAGTTTGGGGGTCAATTTTTTGTTTATATTATTTGATTTATAATTTTGTTTTAGTGTATTAGTAACTTCAAATCTAATATTAGCTGCCTCATTAGGGTTAAGAGTTTTGCATATTTCTTCTGTTTTTGAAATAATATCCAATTTTTCTTTTTGTTTCAGATTTCCCCCCAAAGCATATTTATAACCTTTGCTAAGCAAGTCTAGAACTTCATTTGAGATACCTTCACCTGTTAAATTCATGATGTTATTTTTTGGTTTAATTTCAGAGTTGAATACTTCATTTTTCTTTTCAAGGAAGAGTTTTTCAATTTTGAATCAGATTTTGGGAAATTCCATCTATTAGTAATGAGAAATGCATTAGGAATTACTTGATGCATTTTACAGAATTTAAGAAAATAGATATGAGAAAAGAACTCACCCTTTTAATGCTGTGTTTTCTCAACTTCTTGAAGTAGAGGAGAGCTTCAGATCCTGAACTCTTTAAAATAGAATCTTCAAATAATATAAACAAAAAATTGACCTCCAAACTTAAACACCTACAAACAAAATATGTAATAACAAAATATGACAAAGGGAATGGAATTGTTTTAATGAAAAAAGAAGACTATAAACAAAAAATGCTTTATTTATTGAATAACAATGGCACCTATTCTCCTATACAAAATGATCCAACAAAAAACTTCAAAAATAAATTGAACACCATACTTAAAAACTGGAGAAAAAACAAATATATTAATTACAGGCTTTTAACCAAGTTGAAAAATTATGATGCACATGTGCCCAATATATATGGTGCTCCAAAGGTCCACAAGCCTAACTGTCCATTACGCCCAATAGTAAACAATAGACCTTCACCAACATATGCCTTGTCAAAATGGTTAGCACAACAATTAAAAATCTACCAATATTTTATTGAAAATGAAATTGTTAACTCCTATGAATTCAAAGAAGATATTATTGACATGAAGCTAAATGGAAATCAAAGAATTATATCTTTAGATGTTGAATCCATGTTTACTTCAATCCCTATACCCACAATTATGGATGCATTAAACCATGTGATAAAAGAATCAAAAATAAATAATTTGCCAAAATCTGCATTTTTAATTGGAATAGAATTTTGTTTGAAAACACACAACATACTTTATTTATGATTACCAAATATATCTCTAAATGAAAGGTGCAACAATGGGTAGTCCAATATCACCAAACGCAGCTTGTATTACTATAGGCCAATTAGAAATAAAAGCTCTAAATTCACTTAAAAATGATGTTTATTATTTTAAAAGATATGTTGATGACTCCATTTTATTTATTAATCAGGGAAGTGAACAAAAAATTTTGGATACTTTCAACAATCTATTGCCTGATATCAATTACTCTATGGAAGTAGATAACAACAAATCAATAAATTTCCTTGACATGAACTTATCATACAACAATAACAACATTACAACCTCTATATACAAAAAACCAACACATACAGGAACTTATTGGAACTTTAGCTCACAGCACCATTTCAGCCAAAAAGTAGGATTAGAAAAAGCTCTTATATATAGAGCTTTTACACTCATTAATGATAAAACTAAAAGAAATATAGAAATTAACAACATCAAAAAAGAACTAATCAATGAAGATTTTCCCATCAAATTGATAAATAGAATAATAGAAGACATGAACCAAAAATATGAGAATAAGACTTTAATTCAAAATCTAAAGTGCAAAAACAAAGAAGCCAAATTTATCACATTGCCATTTATAAACCAAATATTTGCAAGAGAAATTTTACTAATATATTCAAAAAGTATGAAAAAATAAACATTGCATGGAAACCATGTAACCCTATCTCTCGATATATCAACAACCATAAGAACACTCACATACCAAATAGAGCAGGTTTAATTTATGAAGTGAAATGTGAAAAATGTGACCAATATTATGTAGGACAAACATCCAGAACTTTAAAAGTAAGAATGAAAAACCATGAATATGCTCTGAAATGGGATAAAAATGAGAATTCTGCACTTGTAGAACATAGAAAAATCACAGGACATAATAATTTTAACCTAAAAGAAACAAAGATACTAGATTATGAGAAGAATTATTTTAAGAGACAATTTGAAGAAACATTTTTCATTCAAAAGAAATGTGCTACAATTAACAGAATGGAAGAAAGAGGAAATATAAATGATATTTATAGATATTCTTTTAATTATATTTGAAAAAACTTTTAATTCTAAGAATAATAATCATCAGGTGTTTATCCCATCTGTTTATCAGATAAATATCTTCTTCTTATCTGTTATCTTGTTTACACACTTGATAACAGGAACTATTTAAAAGCATGCTGTGGTAAAATTCTCTCATTCAGTACTTTTGTCTGAAGATGGTAACAACGCTGCTACCGAAACGTCACACACTATTTATATATTTGGATTTGGTCTTATTACCTTGTGTTTATAATCTATAATCCAAATTGTGCCTTATCAGTGATAAGACCAAATCCAAATAAATAAATATTGTGTGATGTTTCGGTAACAGCATTGTTACCAAAAGGTCACACACAATTTGTTTATTTGGATTTGGTCTTATTACCTTGTGTAAATAGTATAATAATAAATTTATTTGAAAAAAATACCTCTAATGTTGTTTGAAAGTGAAAAGTAAAATTTGAAAATCAGATTTGTCTTAATATATCGTTATTTCCATCATAGGAATAAAGCTCTGTGTATTCTGAATCAATTGAAGATGAATCAAAATTATCCAATTCAGAAAAATCGTGACGCAAAACCTGTTGATACGATAGCGCGATCGGTAAAATTTCAAATAAAAAAACGCCAATTTGCAAACACAAAATCGGTAGTAAAATGGCCGGCCAGGGGGAATATCCGCGAACCCTGAATGAGCCATATACCTAACAAGGCTTCCGTTCTAATAATTAGTTTTTGAGAATTTATAAGTCGATTTGTTTGTGGCCCATGAGACACAGGCATTGTTTTTTTTTCTTCTTCTTCCAATTCCAGTTTCCACATATTATTCTGAAGTATATATTAAATTTTGCATTAAACCTGTTATTCAAACCATTTCGGGCATTACAATTATTTGGAATTATTTTTTAGCCTAGGTTAAAAATGATATAGAACGCTTCCAAAAGGGCATGCTGCCACTATTTTTTTTTTTTTAGAAAGGCATTCTTTGTTTCTTTTCTTTATTTTGGAAGCCATTTCTATTTCAAAATTTTTGAGTACAAAGATATTCTATTAAATAAAAGTATAATGTGTAAAAATTTATACAACATACAGCATAAATAGAATGGAAATGAAAAAAAATAAATCCGCTAATTTTTTGTTTTGAAATCGCGATCCATGAGCTGAAACATGCTCAAATTTTGTTGTTTTCAAATTTTTTTAAATCACAATTTAAAGTTTGTTATAAGCCTAGTATTTTTAATATATTATATTATTTTTGAATGAAAATAGGTTCGTTATAGGGGTAGTTCGTTATTTAAAAAATTGCAAAGTTTGTTATAACGATGGTATTTTCAATGTAATGGAATTGGGAATCGCCGTGGGTTCGTTATAGGGGAAGGTTTGCTATATCCAGGGTTCATATTAGCGGGGTTTAACTGTATATATATATATATATATATAGATAGAAATTTTGCCGGGAGGAAATTTATCTAAAGAGACAAGGGTCGCCTCTCCCGTCAAAATAGATGTCTAAAACTAGACGCCATCTATTGATATATATATATATATTGATGAGGCTGAAGTGGGGATGTAAAGCTCATTTTATTGAGAGGCTGCAGTACATTGTCCTGGTGGGCTATGGTCACCATGGCCCGTTCCAGGGCTGGGTTTGTGGTCCGGTCCCGGAGGGTTGTTGGGGTCCGATTCTCATCGGTGTAGCCGTTGGAAGAGTTATATCTGTGACAGGACATCTTTCGTTCGCCGGGCAAGGATAAAAAAAAATAAATAAATAAATAGCACGAAGGTCAAACGATAACAGCCACGTTGTATTTGTTAGCATTCCGCAAAACGGCGGTCCGTGGTCAAATACAACTTGTACCTGTTATCTCTGTGGTGCCGTTTCTCTGATAAATAATAAAATAAACAAAATTTAAGATAATTTTGTAA